ACCCTGATTTTTTTCACTTATTCCATATACGCTCCTAAGCAAATCACTTACCATTGTTTGAGACTCAGATTAACCATAGATAAAATAAGAATGGCATAGATAATGTGTATATAAAGAACCTAACATAGCACCTGGCACATAATTGGCATTCTAAAATTTTAGAATGCGTATTATGACACCTGACACCTTTATTCTCTTATGCCAACTTCCTTGTCCTCCAGTGAGTCAATCATTCTCCCTCTTCCTCCTCCATCCAGAATAAATCCATATCAAGCAGATTCTCTCCCAAATTACACATCTTTCATTCACTAGCTATACTGCTATCCCAGTCCACAATTCTAAATCAATACAAACTTGTTCCCTGATCTGAGTCTGCCAAACCTTGTTGGAGGAAATCATTTCCCTACTGAGATTTATCAACCTTATAAATGGACAGTCTTCAGGTTCCTTGGGGTGACCTCCATGCAACTTGGCAAGCCTTTGGTTTTACGTTTTAGACTACTCTTTTCACTTTTTGATAGTTCCTGTCTTAACTGTAGTGTCTTCCCCAGGCCCTCTCTTCACCTCTGTATTAGTAGATATCTTTATCACCCAAATGAATCCATTGAACTTGCCTCCCCTACATCTCCAAGTGTTTTTATAATACTTATGGGGGATCCCAAATGCCAGTATCTGAACAAGTGTAAGGCTGGTTACTTTATAAGCACCCGAATAACATTAAAAAATACACTTAACAGGACTTGACCTCAGCATATGGAATAAAAATCTTTAGTACTGGGAAGTCACTCCTCGGGGGATTTTGAGACCTAGCTAGATTTGTGAGACATCACCAAGAAAATTGCTGACACCTTTCGTTCATAACCTCTGGTAGCTATTTGAAATTAATCTGGCTGCCCTTATTTCTTCCCAGCAGTTGAACATGTAGGTTGTACTTTTCAGAGCTCATCAATGAGTTGTGAGAGCATCTGTCTTGCCTGTGGTCATTTCACTTAATCTTTTTTTGCTGGAATTGTTAACACACTCCCACTGGTGGGTTGCCAATCTCAAGAGTAGCTACAACAGCTCCTTTGGAGTGTCCTGACTGTGCTCCAAAATTTTGTTTTTGGTCATTTTGTCTGACCATTTAATGCAAACTGTAGATCATAGATGACACTGGTGGAAGAGTTCAAGTAACCATAAGTGCAATCTCAAGAAGATGGAAGTCTTACAGCTATATAATAGTTTGGACATGAACATTGCTTTATAAAAGTTTTGACTTGATTTTAAGTGTGTTTTCTAGTGGGCACCACATTTAGCATTCCAAAGAACAAAAGGACGTTTAATGTTTTAAAATTTTTTTCATCTATTGGCATATCATTTATATAGTTTATATTGAGTTCTTTTCACCCTAGTTATCTTTTTGGCAATTCTCAAAAATTTAAAATGTCACTGATAGAAGCAAAGATTTCAATGACAGTACCAAAATGATCAAAAGTCAACATGTAAGCAGATTAACATACAAACAAATATATATTATATTTATATACATTATTTATAGCACTTATATATAATTAAATGTTAACATAAATATTAATGTTATATTTAATAATAATTTCACCACAATTAAATATACAAGACAAAGTAAAATCTCAGGTATTCAGTCTCCTCGTGGAATTATACCATATAATCATGACTTCATGATACTAATGGATTGAAAAGCAACTCAGAAATGGTGAAAAGTCAGAGAAGATTGTTTAAATCTCAGTTGAGCCTCTTACTTCCTGTATGGGCCTATGCAAATCACTGAGTATTTCTGAGCCTTATTTTCTTCGTCTTTAATATGTTCTTTCAGAAGATTGTTCAAATGGTTAAATTAAATAAATGATAAATAGTAACACATTATAAAATATTTCCATTGTTTCATCTACAAAGGTTACTGTAAGATTTCAAAATATTATCTATTAAATAAATTCTCTAAAAAAGGAAGTTATATAGCACTTGAGTTAATTCATGAGGATAATGACCCACTTTTATCCATCTTAATATCCATAGAAGATTATTATTAGTAATCCCTTCAATTGTACTGATAAAAAATGAAGTATATTTTATTAAGTTATTCATTTCTAAAAATTGGCTATTCATATACATGGATATTTTGTGTTTCTCTAATAATCAGAGCATTTGTTTAGCCAAATATATTTTTTCTCTATAGTTCCATCTGTTCATTTATTTTAGAAATAAAGACTAGTTCTGATATTTTCCCTAAATTATTGGATATTTAAAATTTTAATATATGATCACATTTTTATTTGTGATAATTATGATTGATAATCATTGGATTTACTGAGCTCTTGCATTGTGACAGACACAATGCAAAGCATTTTACATGTGTTAACACATCTAATCCTCAGTATTTTTGTGAGGTAGCTAATGTTATACTTATTTTACTCTTGAGAAAATTAAGTCGCCAAGTGTGTAACTGTCCCTAAAATTGTCCTTTAGGAGACAGAATGAGAGCTTGAGCTCAGACATTCTGATTCCAGAACCTAGGTACTTCACATTTAAGCTATACTACATTGCTAACATCACATTATCTCCTGCACCTCTGCTCTAGAGTATTCCCAGAATGCAACCTCTGACCCTTGATTCCTGGGAGGCTAACTTGGGGATCTTTGATGTTAATAACAACCATTTAAGTGAAGCTCTCCCATAGCCTTTGGAAGTATTTTCTGACCCATATTTCAGTTTTTCCAACATACCCTTAACCATAATTACATAGAAATCAGGCAGATCACTTTTGTTTTCACATATTTGATAGAGAGATAAAAGAAAAAATAATAGTCCATTCAAGAGAGTGGTTTACATATATTTCCAACCAAGATAAGTTTTCATTTCCCATCAGAGTGTAATCACAATGAGTAAAATTGTTTTTTAAAATTATACTACAATTTTATGGAGATGTTTGCATGTGCAGGTTATGTTTGCTATATTTTACTATCTTGAGCTTGTAAATACTAGTGAATAATTATAAATCCACTTAAATTGTTATTAGATCATCATGGAAATTTATGCATTTGATGAAACATATAATCAGAATTGTGAATTGAATTAATTCAAGAGTTGGGAACTAGAACATTTTATATAATTTAGTTTATATAGCTAATCCTCATGGTGAAACTGCAGTCTCAGACCTGGAAACTTAAATCACACACACCTCCCCCGACCACACACAAACACATGTATTATTAAAGCAAATTATGTCTTAAATTCTTCAGGTTCCCATTTGGTTTTCTCTCATTGTATTATTGTCTTGAGAAAAATAACTTTTTCTCACTTGAAATGAGCTTCAAGTGAAACTAAGATTTGTTATCACTTCACATTGAGAAACATTTTTGGACTTTATAAACATAGGCATAGGTATATGAGCATGTGTACACACTCACACAAAAACATAAAACAGCTCCTACCTATGAATGGATTGAATTCAGGAAGCATATTTGGTTAAAACAGTGTTTTTAAGCACCAATGACAACTTTACGTAGGAGTAGTGTTATGTTACTGTTCCACTAAAAAATGTTTATCTCATATTTTACACCATTTTTAATACTGCTTTTATGGAATCATCCTTTCCCAATTTCCTTTCCAGATAGCAGAAACATAATTCTCTGTATCACTAATCCTAGGAGACCCTCCACCACCATACCCATAAAAATCACAGTGTTTTCAATGGTATACATGCTATCAACCAGGACAGTTATCAAAACCAGTGATATCTCTGGTTTAGAATAATCACATAGATATTAAATCATGTTTGTTTATATCTTCCTTCTGTTTGTAAGAAAAAAAAATTTTAAAAAAAGCACAACAACAAAAAGTCATGTTTATATTTTCAAAATGATAAATAAATACCATGATTTTGTCCTGGATTTTCAAATCTAGAACATCCAATAGAGTTTTTTATTTATTTTTTATTTTTTAATTTCAGCATATTATGGTGGTACAAATGTTAATGTAGAGTGTGCATTATGGTGCAAAAAGTATAAACTTTACTGAAAACAGAAAGTACTGACCACAAAGTACATACTGTTAAAGATGCCCACCCAAATTGTGTTTGAAGAATTTGTTATGTTTTCTTGTTGTCAGCATCACCACATTACCAGTAACTGGGAAGTACAGTTTATATTAACCTTTTTTTTAAGAAGTCACAATTATTATAATTAGAAATCCCTCTTAATTCAGTCATAACATGGAATGAAAGCAGCAATTCCACTTTTGAAAACTGATATTTGAAATTTTGGTGAAAGATATACTCTTTCTAGAGGGTGACATTAATTTTTTTATAAATTTGTTTACTTTGTAAGTAATTACTCTTTAGTCAATAGGTCTCTATGTTAGTCAGCTTGGGCTGCTATAACAAACTACCATAGACTGTGTGGTTTAAACAACAGAAGTTGCTTACTCACAGATCTGGAGTCTGGGGAAGTCCAAGAGCAAAGTGCTGACAAATTTGTTTCCTTATGAAGGCCTTTGTCCTGGCTTGAAGATGGCCCCTTTCTCCCTGTGTCCATCCATGACGGAGAGAGAAAGAGGTATAATCTTCCTCCCTTGTCTTTTCTTCTTCTTATAAAAACACTAATCTCATCATGGGGGTTTTACCCTCATGACATCTAAACCTACTCACCTTCCAAAGGCCCTCCCTGCAAATCACTGGGGCTGCAAAATATGAATTTGGGGGGAATACATTCAGTCTATAGCAGCCTTTAATTGGAGAATGTGCATGAGTTTCATCCACATATTTTTAAATTTTTTTAATTGAAATGCCTTGGAAAAGTCAAGCACTCTCTAACATATCATAGTCTCTGCCGCTTCCTACCATCTAATTCTTGCCAGATAATCTTGATGGTATTGTCTATCAAGCCTTTGTAGGTATTTGAATTTGTGATTCTTGATTTAGTCCATTTAAATTGTATACATTTATCAAGATTTTGGTATTAAAATTCACTTTTGATTCTCTCTTACAGGATGGAGAACCTAATAAGGGGAAGGAATCCCCCCCAATATCAGAGAAGTCCTTGTAAAGAAGTTCGTGCAGCTCTTCGTAAGAGACCTGAAGAGGAGTGTAAGTATGTTTAATAGGATTAACTGTGTTCTAGATAGATTTTGGTGAGTAGCATAGTGAAATGAAAGGGTTAAACTTTAAATGTGTAGTCAAATAATAGAATATTTGTTGAATTGAATTGATTTTTAAAAACAAATTGCCATATGTAACCTGAATGTAAGTGCTTCGAACATTGTTTTCTTAAGTGTTACTTTGGTACTTCAAGATACTTTACTGATAATTGAGTTTCATATTCAAGGGGATGGAAAAGTCTACACCATATACTAAATCATTCTTAGATATTTATGCTATATATATTAATGGTTTTGAGAAGTCCTGAAGTAAAAAAGCTTTTGAAATGTATTTAAAATGAACATTTTTCAGTTTCCATTTAACCACCGTGCTTTTTAATTTTTTTTTTTTAACTAAGAACTCTGAAAACCACTGCATTAGATGAAAGAATAAATATCTGGGGGTAAATATAAACCTGTTTGTCAAATTGAAACATTTGATTTAATTGAATTTAGAAAAAAAGTTTTGAAAGATAGATACCATGCATCCTACCATAAAGTCATTTTAGTCCATCCTCAATTTATTCAATATTATAATATGTAAATGTATGCAGAGATTTTATTTAAATATTTAGTGTCTATAATATATAGTAGATTGTTAGAGATTTTTTACATAATATTCAGATTTTAAGTTTATAAGATGACCTGTAATACTAAATTTCCTCATGGTATTTGCATATAATTGTTTTTGGGAAAATAAATTACATTCCATTATGACAAAAATTTATCTGAATGTTGTCCTTTTATAGGAACTTACATTTTACAAAACCAAGCTAATGTACTGGGTTCACTGAAGTATACTTTTAAAATTATGTCGGCATCTTAATTAGTTTGAAGTACACTGCTCTGGGTAAAGACCAAATGCATTAAAGCAGGGCATGCTCATGGCAAGTTGAGTGTTTTTGTTTCGTTTCATTTTGTTTTGTTTTATTATAAAGTCAATAGATAATCTTATTGGGTTGACATATATGTTGTTCAGTATAATGTTAATCATTTAATTGGTAGATTTATAGATTCTAACACTACAAACAATGTTTAATTAAAACTAAAATTTGATAATGAAGTTAGAATTCATGGGCATTTAAAACAAAAATCATTTATAAGATGTGGACTCTTTCATAAAAGTATTGCTTCTTTTTTATTAGGTTCATAGGAAAACTTTGAGCTTTCTCCTCTATTCTGATTTAACATGATCAGCTTAGTCTCTGGTATAGTTCTACAGTGAAAAAATAAAAAACTTAGAAGAGATATTTGTAGATACCTCTATAGGTAATTCTCAGAGAGTTGCTGTTTAACATAAACAAAATGACTTTTGAGAGCTCTTGTACAGAGTTGATCTAGGCCAAAGGTTGGCCAGCTATGGTTTATTTATGAAATCTAGCCTGATAACTGTTTCTGTTAATAAAATTTTATTGAAACACAGCCATTACTCATTTATTTATATACAATTGCTTTTGCACTGCAAAAGAATTGAACAGTAATGACAGAAACCATATGGCCCACAAAACCAAAAATGTTTACAGGATTCTTTATGGAAAAAGGGTTTTGAACCCTTGTCTAGGCCAGTGGTTCTGAAGGTGTGGTCTCCAGACCAACAGCAGCACCTGGGAACTTGTTAGAAATGCAAATTCTAGGGCTGCGACCTATACCTTCTGAATCAGAAACTCTTAAATCAAGTCCCAGTAATCTGGATTTTAAGAAGCCTTGCAGGAGATTCTGATGCAAGCTCAAGTTTGAAAACTACTAGCCTATGACAAATGATTGGTGTCAGATGATATTAAATTAGCTATCAAAAGACTACTAATGATTGATTGGTATATTTCATAGTGAAGTTTTATTGTTCTCTAACATAAGGTACATGCATTAAGTTATGTAATATAACTGTTGCTTGTGTTAAAAGTTCTCATCAATTGGACTGTAGCAGTCAGGGTAATCTTTCAAGTATCACCACAGGAACTCAGCTGGACTGTTATTCAACATGGAAATTCATACTGCAAAATGAGAAATCTGAAAATTATATTCTCTTCCAGAGAAATTTTCATTTCTTTTTGTTACTATAATGATAAGTTCTTCTTGTCCTGTTACAACAGTATTATTTCCCTGAGAACAAAGCCACCATCTTTTCTGTAATGGAAGCAACATATCATGGTAGTTAAAACTATTAACATTAGGGGCACACAAAGAGTTTATTGTCTAATATGACACTTAATGTACCTAGCTGCAGGATCCAGAATATTATTTTTTTTTTAATCTAAGATTTAGAGCCTACTTTATAGGATTGTTTTAAGGATTAAGGGAGATACCTATATTAAGTACTTGGTACGGAACTTGGGTGCATCAAATTTCCTTCTCTCTCCTCTCTCCTCTCTCCTCTCCCCTCTCCCCTCTCCCCTTTCTTCTCTCTCTCTCCCCTTTCCCCTCTCTCCTCTCCTCTCCTCTCTCTTTCTCTCTCTCTTTCCCCTTTTCTTGTTATTCTTATTCTTATTTCAACCTAAACATTTGTTTGAGGATAGTAACACATGTTTTTAAGAGCAAAAATGCAAATCCACAAAAGCAACACAACTATTTTTAGAAATAATAATGCATGGCAAGAAACAGGCTCTAAACAAATGCCATAAACCTGAAATTCTTGTAACAATGTTAGATAGTCATTTGTCTGACACATAGTGTCGTTCCTTCCCCAAGATTCTACAAACTCAATATAGGATCTACACTAAGACTTCTTGGTCAACTCTCATAGAAAACTGCCATGTTGGAAAACCATCATAAAAAGTCAAATGGTAGGGGCTTCCCTATACTGAGAATTGAAAGGAATGGTGGAACTTGGCTCAGGCTATAGGATTCTCCAGAGTAGGGAAAGCCCTCTGTTATTTGTAGATGTTGTATATAGGAAGGTTTTGTTAAATCGCATATTTCATAGTTTCATAATTCTTTATACTCTTAAAATATTTTCAATGTTAAGATCAACATAAGGTCACCAGACATAGCTCTTAGTCAATTATTTAGTGTGAATTATTTCTAGTAATGCTGCATTTAATATAGTCAAGCAAACTTTCAGTAAAAAGAAATTAATTCTAATAGAAGACTTTTAAACAGGCTTAAGTTATTCCTCACTAAAAAAACAAAATAAAAACTTTATCCTTAAAGCCATAGCACCATTCAGCTATCACCCTACACTCTTGTTCTATTCCCAGGCAAACCTCAAAAGAGTCATCTATATTCGCTCCATTTACTTACCTTCCACTCAGTCCTCCAAACTGGTCCAATCTGGCTCCTACCCAATCACTCTACTGAAACAGCTTTCATTCAGATCACCAATAATCTTTTTATGTTGCTGTAATAGTTTTCTATTGCTATGTAACAAATTACCACAAAATAATTGTTTTAAATTAATACTCATTTATTATCTCACAGTTTCTATAGGTCAGGAGTCCAGGCAATGAGTCGAGGCAGAAGTTCTCTGCTTCAGGTTCTCACCAGGTTTAAGCTGTATCAGAAGCTCAATTGGGGAAGAATTCATTTCTAAATTCATTGTTCCAGAATTTGTTTTTTTGTGGTGGTATGTCAATAGCCCTGGCTTTTTGTTGGCTGCCAGCTAGAATCACCTTTTGTCTCTAGAGGGCTTCTGAACTTCCTTGCTGCATGGACACTGCTACATATGGCTGCTTACTCCTTCTTCTCAGAGAGAGAGCCCTGCCTCTCTATTAAGTGTTTTCACCTGACTAAATCAGGCACACCCAAGAGAATCTCAATTATGATTAATTTAATATCAACCAATTTGGGATCATAATTACACCATCACCTTTGCATAGTCTATTGGCTATATGAAAATCACAGGCCCTTCTTATATCCAAGGGAAAGGATTATATATGGCTCAAACATCAGGGGGTAATAATGATGATCATGAGGCCATCTAAGAATTCTGCCTACCATTTGCTAAATCCATCAAGCATTTTTTTCAGTGCCCTTACTTCTTAGCAAGAATCAATATTATTGATCATTTCTTTCTTTTGAAACTACCGTGGTCTGAATGTTTGGGCCCCTCCAAAATTTATATGTTAAAACCTAATGAACAATGCCATGATATTAGAAGGGAGGCCTTTGGGAGGTAAAAATGAAGTGCCATCTATGAACCAGAAAATGACCCTTACCAGATGCCAAATCTTCCAATCCTGATCTTGGACTTCCCAGCTTCCAGAACTAGGAGAAATAAATTTTTGTTGTTTGTAAGCTACCTCGTTAATGGTATTTTGTTATAATAGCCTGAACTGTCTAAAACATTCTCTAATGACTTTGTTACCATAATATAATACTTCCCTGGTTTTTCTACAGTATCTCTCACTACCTTTTTGTATGCTCAAGCTTCTCTTTCCAGCTATTATATGTTTGAATTTCAGAAGATAATTTGAAGTCATCTTCTTTCCAAATATCCTGTCTCCACAGACAATATTGATATATGAAGTGTCAGTTATTACTATAATCAGACGATTCACAAATTGATACCCTCCTCCCAGACCTCTCTCCATTCATCCCAAGTGTACTTGAAAAATCATCTTAGATGTGTCAACAATGCCTCAAACTCAGTAAATCCCAAACCAAATCCATGATCTTTTGCTTAAAACCTGAACTTCTTCAGGTGTTTTCTGTCTGAATGCTAGGTGCTGATAACCCTCCTCATTCAAAATCTGTAAGCCTAGGAGTCATCTTTCGTACTTTCTAACCCTTTCCTCTTATATTCCTCATTCTAATTTCAAGGCCCTCTTATATTCCTCATTCTAATTTCAAGGCCTATCAATTTTATCTTCTAAGTATTTTGAATTTGTTCACAAGTCACCTCTGTAAAGATTCTACCAGATACTTCCATAAATGGCTTTCTACATATAATTCTGAAAGTTTTTTATCTTAAAATGACCCTATGCTTATTGAGGAAAGACAAAAGCCTTACTATAG